TGCAGCATTAATTTAAAATGGAAAAAAAGTCATACTGTGGAATCATGTCTTGATGTCTACAAGTGTGGTTTGTCTAGTTAACTTTTTGTTTAACTGTTGAGGTAAAAGTCTTTCTGTTCCACTCAGGCTACTCTCGCTACTCAAAAACAGATTTTTGACAGACCTTTAATATCAGTTGCTGGTAATTTCTGCCCCAGTATGTCTAACTTGAGTGATCTGTTTTACTGTTAGTACAATTATTTCTTCCCTTCAGTCTAACTGTGTACATCATCATTTGTGCATGTAGTATTAACTGTGCATTTTCTGTATGGTATAGTGTTGCAGATGTTGATATTTAGTGCTGCTATTTTCATATTTAACAACAAATCATTTATTTCAATTATTTTTTTTTAAATACAAGGTATGGCTTCTGTAATTTAAGAGTTGGCCAAAGTGATCTGTAGTTCTTTTGGGATCTGCCCTGAATTCTTCAAAGTTGGAGGTGGAATTCAACATCTGTATGTCCCAATATGTTTGCAAATTAATTATCGTAGGAGTGAAGGATTGAAGGGGGTCATTTATATTGAATTAAGTCTTGTGAGCATTTATGCAACTGCTCATTAGACACTTGTCAAACCCTGCCTTAGCAAGTTAAATTTGTTTGCCTCCACTCGTCTTCACTATTTGAAGACTGGTTTACACAACATATGTTTCTTAATGTCTTGTGTAAATATATTCATGCTTTGTTTATGCCCATTGATTTTAGTACCAATATTGACCCTTAATGTAAACATTTTGCATGCATTTATAGAGATGTCTGTTTTTTTCCAGGGAGCGCGTATAAGCCAGGCATTACTATTTTGCTTTCCTAATTTAAGTTCTCTGTCCCCCTAATCATTATAGTAGCCTCTCTGTGCATGCGGCACAATTTTGAGTTAAACTTCCAGGAATGGGTGTGATTGGAGCTGCACAGAGTGCTCCAGGAGGAGAAGCTTTGCACTGAGGCATTTCTGTGGCCTTGTTTTTACTGTAACTGTATCACCTGGTACGGATTGTACCTGCTTTTTTACAATAAGGAGGCCTAGACATTATTTCCTTCTTCTGTCATTTCCAGGTTTTAACTCTCAATGTACAGCAGATGCTCTTATCCTAGCCTCAAAATGCATAATTTTGCACTTTATACTGTTAAATTTCATCCTACTTACATTAGTCCAATGCTCAAAGCCATCCAGCTGTGCCTTCTGCTCTTTCTCCATATTAATGATGTTCCACAACCTTGTGACACTGTTTAGTACCAAAATTTGTACTATAAATATGTACATGCACACACAAGCATGCTCTTCTTTTACCTTTTCTTTTTATATGCTAGTACTTCTCTATTGCATATTACCTGCCATCTACTTTTAGAAGTTTCTTAGATATCGTACAATTCTTCTAATCCTAGTCTTTTCCCCCTTAAATATGGTTATGGGATAGTTAATGCTATGCTAAATCCATGTGCATTATAATTAATTCATTAATTGGTTATGTATCAGTTTGACATGATATTCTTTGATAAATGTACTTTCCATTTTATCCGACTTTTCTCTATGATGTAAGGTATTTTTTTCTTGGACGTTTGTCCTGAAGCTTTTCATACTCCTGACATGAGACTAATAAGGTAGCTAATTTTCACCATTTCTTAGACATAAATACTAGTTTTCTTTTTTTCTAGTCTAGCTTAGTCCCTGTTATCTCTTCCTTTTTATCCTCAGTTTATGAGATTACTAAAATACAGAGTTGCTTCATCACGCTGACTTTCAGTGTTTCCTGGATGGAACTGGCTCTTCAGTAGTTAGACTGGTACCTAGTCCATCATGTTTCTGTTACTTCTGTAACGTCCAGTTTC